AAGTAATCCAGTCCTTATATTTGAGGAACCTTATCTCTTCATGACATGGGTATTACCACAACTTTGCTTTTGATCCAAAGAGCTGGAAATGTTTTTGACTTAACTCTAGAGGCTACCTCATAAATTGACTGCAAGTGTACTCTGGCCCCTTGAGTCAATGCTGTTTTTTCATGCTCTAAAGTGTGCTCAGTCTATTTAATTTATTGAAAGGGAGGTTAAAAATACTCAAGGGGAGGCATTTTTGCAGACTTGGCTCCTAAAATCTAGCAGAAAAATATTTACCATAGTATCTAGAAACTGAAATTGGGTAATGTCAGACCTCAAGAAAAAAAAAAAAAAGGCAGAATCTCTTTAAACAGTAAAATAATTAACCTCTGAAGAATGTAATGAATTCTCCACAATGTGACATTTTAATCCCAGGTTAGATTCTTTTCTAAATACATTTATAAAAGTAATGCAATGGATCAAAATTGAAATTTAATTTGATGCAGAAATGTAGAAGGTCTTGGAGGGCTCAGGCAGGGTGATCAAAACTGTCCTTTCTGATATCATACCTAGAAATGGAGAGCGTGCTGCTTTTAGCTACTGCCTTAGAAGTGTAAGTTACATGATCAACCTGAATAGAAGCTTCCAGCATGGCAATACTATGTGCTGCCACTGTATGGCAAGGCTGGTTCCTTAATATACTTCCAAGTTTCCCAGTTTCATGATCGTGAGCCAATTACCAGTTTGCTCAGCAGTCCCCTCCCAGCCACAGCAATACAGCTGAGCCCATCTACACAGCCTGAACTCATTTTTCCATGCTAGTAGTTCTTTTCTAATGCTCTTACAGCCTTTCTGTTCCCACCCCTTTTCTTGACAAAAATGCATTCTTCAATAATATGAGGATTCCAGAGAAAGCCTGAAGTGCTAGTTTTCCGTTGGAATCAGCATTTCTTACTGGGAAGATGGCTGAGCTTTCTAATCCACACTCATCACGTCACCAGTGTGCCGTCTCAGTGTCTGTCAGTCTGCTTTTGGTCACAGCCAGCTTTTCCATCAACGCAGAAAAGAACGTGTCCTTGAACACGAGATTTCTCCAAACAAGGCTGCCATTAGCAAGACTGTGATTTACATTAAGACAGACTTCCATAAAAGCAAGCTCAAAATAAAACTATGAACAAATAGAGCAGCTTCAGCTTCATATCTGTTCCATAGCTCCATCAGGAAAATATGCTAGATTACACCAAGAAAACAGGCATTAAAAATAATTTAAAAGATATAACTGTGTTTCTGGCTCCCACAGCCTTGCCCTGCTCTTCTTCCCAAAAGAAGGGGCTAAAAGGTATAAGAATCAAGCCATTCTCCTCGTAAGCAGGAAGATTTACCATTGCTTAATACTACTACTCAGCACTACTTAGCCGTAGCCTCAGGGCAACATGTAAGCAGCGAGTGCAAAGAACTGTATCTCTCCCGCAAAGCCTTCCATTCTGCCTTTCCCACTTGGCTGCCTTTCGGCAGGCAGAACAGCACAATACAGTGAGAGATGAAGACCTGCCACTCTCCTGCCACAGCCACTCATCATCTAATTCAGATGTTTGCCTCTGTAGACATTTCCAGAGCAAGTCTACAGGATGGCATTATTTTACGTAGAAACTTAACTACGCACCTCGGCTCGCCACTGCTTAGGCCAGTCACATACAATCCTTTCTCCAAAGGCTGCTGCTTTCTGTTTTCAACTGTTATTTAAAAATGTAACCTTACACAGGAAGAGATCCTCCACTCAAAGGCAAAAAGGGCGTCTCTGAGTTCAGAGAGGCCAAGACACTGAATTTGCTGTTGCAACTACCGAAAAGGCAAACACATTTGACAGCTGAATTCCTTGAATACAGTTATCACAGACTTATATCACCTGAATTGGGCCCATAATATATAGACTTAAATTTGCAGCTACAGAGAAAATCAGAAAAATATACCAAGAAAAAAAAAAAAGGCAAAGACACAACGATGTTTCAAAGCTTAGCTTAGCTTTCTACAACCCAGCAGCAATGTTCAGATGCTGCTGGCAATCTGACTTCTCCTTCATGCAGGATGCATGCCTTTGCAAAGGAACAGGACAGTGCCTTAGGGGTACCATATATTCATAAAGATACTTGGCAGATGAACATTCCTCCTTCTTGCCCTGTGGGGAGGAAAACCAAAGCTCTCTTACTCACTTTGTCTGTTCCCACACACACTGGCATAAGTCCTGCTGACTTTCAGGTAAGCAGAACAGTTTCACTATGCAGGTCCCATTTACTCTTGACATAGCACAGATCCCCTCCTCCCTCCTCATCCTGTGCAACTGGATGCAGTCCAAGTGCTTTCCTTTTGTGTGCCACACCAGAGCAACATGCAAAGGTCATATCCTCCTGGATTCAACACAATATTGCAATAAGAATTTGTTTCCCAGCATCTACAACCCTCATCTGAAGCCTCTTTGAGTATCTGTTATTAAACTGGGCTTAAATGGCTAAGTATGCAGACAATTATATATCAAATGAGGCTTGGTGGTTTCACCACAGTGACAGCAGGAAAAATCAAGAAGTGGAATAAACCCAAAGGCAGGAAACCATGAACTAATACTAAAATGCTGGGGAGAAGAAAGCTACTCTTTTGAGGAAATACTACCTCTGTATTTCTTTCTACATTCCATTTCTTTCTCTTAATTTTTTTTTTTTTTAATAATGCTACCCATTACAGTAGTTGTCGTGGATCCTTCACTGAGAAGAGGTTGGCAAATGGGTGGCTTTTACCTGGATTCCTCTACACTCCTGGGCAGTCAGCCATGAGAACAAAAGAAATCACTCATTTCCATTAGTGGCTGGCAATGAGACTGCATCTCCTTCTTCTGGATTTAGACTTCACTGTAGCAATCTACTCATTTGTGACTGCCAGGGCTTAATTACTGCAGGAGCATGAAACTGCAAAACGTACAAAACCTAAATATAAAAAGCAGCAGCTGATTGCTGGACTGCAGGCACACCCAAGGGTGTGGTGTCCCAAAGCTCTGCTCCTGCCAGGGTGGAAATCCTCTGGAGATGTGGAAATGGCATAGCCTGTGTGCAGCAGTGTGAGCGTTCGGGCCAGGAAGCACACACAACCCTGCTGAAGTGCAGGTCTTCTCACTCTCCAGCATAATCTCCTTAGGCACTGAGAGAAAAGACACTCTTCAGGCTGATCTTCAAAAGCTTAGTGAATATTTGGATGACTTCCTAAATGGGGAGTCCCAGCCAGCTAAATACTCAAACTTGTCACAAGAGCTAGAGAGTTGAGTTTCTAGCAAGTTAAATGGAAGTTTGGGCAAGAACACCGTGAAATTCATGATGTGATTCAGACAAATCTACTTTAAAAAAACCCAACAAAACAAAACCCACAAAAACACAGGTTGTAGAGACAAGCAGAACACACACCTAGGGGACATGCTGAGGATGCAGCAGTTTGGAAAGGAACAGGATAGAAGGAATACTGAGAACACTTGCTACATAAAGAAAGGGTGTGTCTACATCTGCACTGTTGTGCTCACTTCTGGTCATCCTCACTTGAAAGAATACTGGTGAAATAAAAACAATTTTGGGTGATGGAAGTTACTCACTGGAAAATTTCCATTTTACAATGCTTGAAAAAAATATAGTTGTTTTTCTTAAAGAGAAAATTAATAAGAGAAGACATGACACACAAATACAAAAATTGCTGTAGAAAGTTATACTGGGCACCAATTATTCATTTAGTCTTGTAATCCACAAAGAAATACTCAACAAAATTGAAGTTTAAAATAAATAAAAAAGAGAGTGCATATTTAAATTACACCTAACTAACGTGCAAAATCACTGCTAAAAACATGACAGGAAACACGAGTGCTGGAAAACCTAGAAAAGATGTCTATTTACCCAGAAAAGCAAGAATATCCATAGTCAGACAGAAAATACATACAAGACACACTGCTGTTAGAAAAGCCAGTTAATGCACAGGACTAATCTCCAGAAAAACGGCTGACACAAATATAATTTGAAGGCAGTAACTAACCTGCAGACATACCTCTCATGACACCTTTGAATGTAAATAGCTCAGTGGAAAAACAGAAACCAGCAAGAAGAAACAATTCTCTGATTTCCTAAATACCAGCAGTACTTCACAACAAAGAATCTCTTCTTAATAGTAAATAGCTATTTTTGCTGTGCTTTTACAAATTATTCTGCTTGTAGGTCCAGGAAGTAGACTGGGCAGCCCTTCTGAGGACTTGCCCAGCCCTCTAATTCTAAAGGTGGGGTATTTTTCTATTTTTGTTTTCCTCTCACTGCTTCCCACTATCTCTTCTAGCATCCTCTCATTCCCCTTTCTGGCTTGCTTTATCTTACATTCCGCTATTAGAACTCCCATAGAAACGGGACTGAAATCTCTGAAATGCTTCCTTTTTTGTTATGCCCCACTGGTTTCAGACTAGAATTGCTCTTCATTGAGTTGATAAGGATTAAAAATTAAAAAAAGCCCTCAGAGAATTTACTCGCATTTCCACAGTGTTCAGTTAAAGCACAGAGATGCTCTACTGGAATAGGACTGCTCGTCAGACAGCCCTTGCAGCAGCAGTGGGACTTCAGGAGCTGTGGCTGCTATAGTGGAGGCTTTCCACAGCAGCACTCTGTCAATGCCAGCTAGAATTATATCACTACAAACTCAGTCATTTATGCCCTGCTACGACCTGTTATAACTCTTGCAGAGCCAGCTCCCTCAATGTCATGTTCTCTACCTGTGGATCATGACTCTTGCTGACATGTTCAATGAGAGACCTTTCTTTAAAAATTCAAAAGTCCAAATTAATAGCACAGTTATAAAGATGGCACTAAATCAGCAGCAAAAGGTGACAAGACAAAACTACAGAATAATCTCTCATGTTAGAGGCAGACATCAGGTGTGGGCTGCTCTCCCTACCCATCGGAAGGAAGGTGAATCAGAGAGCGTGTGTATGAGGCTTGGTGCTGTACCTGGGTAACGAAGCATACTGCCTTTCCATCCCCTCGAAGTGAAGATTGTATGAGCTCCCATCTGGACCCTTTCCAGGCACCTGTGGAGAGAAGAGTAATTAGAGATGAAGATCAATTATGCAGCCCAGCTACTAACAATGCATCTCAAAACGATAAGCAGAGAACACATGATGCTGCAACATGCCAAAATCAACAAAAGAAAGGCAGGGGCTCAAAGAAGCTCCAAATCCCATACATAATCTTATCACTGCTAACAAGAAAGGCTTCTGTATCAAAGAAGTGTTTAGAACAGGTACAATCTTCAGAGCCTTTCCCTCATCTGCCCGCTAGCTGGGATTCTCTCTCTCCCTCTCTGGCTGGCCTTCCTCCTAGAATTCAGTAACATGAGGACATAATCTAATTAAGCACACCCTGATTACAGTGGCATAACTACCTGAATCAAAGCTAACATCTTAGTCCCAAGTTTGCTTTTTTCCCCTCCGCTTGCATGTTTTGCTTAACTATAGAATATGATATAAATGGGCTTTCTTTCATTCTTAATGTGAATCCAGAAATTCTCCCTAATGCCACTGCAAAGCTAAGTATCCAGCTGGGAGTTAAGTGCACCTATGATCATCTGGTGCCATTTCAGAAGTGAAGCATTAGTGCACTCAGTCAAATGCCAGCTCGCTACTTGGTTTGTTTTCAAGATGGCAACTGAAGTTGGCTGGGGAGCACAATTCTATCAGGAAGGCTCCATCGGGTACCAAACGGTGAACTTCAATGCTTTTAGCACACAGGAGCTCTCCCAATTTCACTCACTCAATGCCTGCTGATGGCCCAAAGTGTTAAGAGCCTTGTTAAAATGGAGCTATTAGTCTTTTCCTCCATAAATGGAGTAGGCTCTGACTGCCTTCAGTGTTTCCTACATTAGTATGTATTCCTATTCCGGTGCTGCTAGAATCAGCAGTTTTATAAAGCAATATACTAAGAGGCCATTTAAAATCTCCTTTCCCTTTTACAGATTAATAGCAGAAAGGAAGATTTAATGCCTTTTCAAACATTTTTAACAATTCATTAAAAAGAAAGTAATAAATCACACCAAGCTTTCGGCAAATGCCTGATTTAAAAAAAAAAAGAGAGAAAACAAAAATTAACATGTTCTTTGCATTCTACAGGTTAGAGTACATTTTTGTCAGCCCTGTAATTTATGCACAATACACCATTTTCACTGAAGAGATGTATAAGCCTCTACAATGAGAAAGGTTGTGCGTTGAGGAGTAGGAAGTCCTATCTACCTTTACAAAGCATTTCTGTGTACATTACATAAACCAAATCCAATGCAAAGAGTGGCAGTATCCTTTGGAGCTACTAGGTATTATCTTAATAATTATAGAAGACAAATATTGTTATGCACCTTGCCACTCATCAAACATGCAAGATATTCATAAGTGAAAAAAAATTATTTAGTACAGGCCTCTTGCTATCTCTCCTTTCTCTGACTCAAAACAGAAAGGAGTCCTCATGGAACTGTTGGCCACAAGAATAACCACCTCTGACCTGAAATGACTCATGCTTTAGCAGTGCCTGACTTTGGATGAACAAAAAATAACAATAATTGCCCTACATTTCAAAAAGAGGGCAATAGGCTAAAGGGAGAACGCATTCATTTTTTGCCACAAGAAAAAGTGACATGCAGAGAGACTTTATAAAGACAGAGTCACTTAGGTGAAGAGTCGCAGCCACTTTGGCTGTTCTTACACTGCTAATTTCATCAGGTTCATAAGTTCCATTAATTTCTCAGGTATGCTGGTGAGGGAAGAGCCTCCAGATTTCTTCTGTTTTACAAAGAAGATTGGGGGGAAAAAACCCATATGTATGCTCTGATTCACTCAGCATAAAAACCACACAGTATATGGTCTAACTGCGGCTATAGATAGGTTATTAATTATCTGCAACAGCAAGATGTTTATGAGCTGAAGGATGTGCCTGGTAGCTGTGCATTCACAACCCCATGTGAGTTTTTTGCACTCTCACACCTAACAGGAGTAACAGCAGCCAGGCTACATGAAAAAACACAAATGGATTCGGAACCGTGCCAGCATCGAGCAGCAATCCCCAAACTTATACCAGTCACCAAAAGTATAAAATATTTACACCACAAGGCCTTTTTGCAGCATGAAAACTCCCCTTTTTTGATGGTTTCCTACAGACCAAATAGAAGGCAATACCCCCTGCCAGGTCTGTTTGTATATATGATTTGAGAGACAGTTACCATAGAAACACCCTGGTGGTGGATACACAATTTTGCTAATTTGGATCCATTGAGCGGCTGAGTCTCCACATCCTATATAAAACCCCCAATGCACTGGAAAAGCATGCTCTGGCTCTGCACAGCTAATTAAAGGCTCAGCCATTTCTTCTTCTTTCCTTTCTCCATCTGTGCATGCGACAGTAAAAACCTATCATCTCTCAGCCCGGCGTGCCAAAATGGTGCCTGGAATCAAATACTACCCCTATGAAAAGAGAAATTGTGAAAATAGAAACACCTCCTTCGTAGAATTTATTTATATTTCAGAGAGAGTCAAAGCAAAGGGTTCCTTTGCTGCCTTCTACAACAAACTGAGCTAAAAATTGGTACGAAAGGTACTAATAAGCAAGATCAAAATACTTCAGCTTCTCCTCCTTTCCTGAAACAGGACATACGTTGGCCCTCCGGCCAGGTGTGGAGGTTTTAACCACATAGTTAATCATCACAGCATATTTAGGCAAGCAAACAGTAACCATATTAAAAAAGGATTAAAACCTGGAAGTCCACATGGATGGTGACCATGAGGTGGCCAGCAAGGCTTGGGAGCTGACAGAAGGCACAGTGCCTAGCTGAGTCCCTATCAGAGGCAACTGGAAGAGCTTTTGAGCTCAAATTCTCAATCAGTAGAGAGAACCCAACAGCAGAGGAAACACATTTCACAAATATATGGTAACGCACAACAGAAAGAATGATCCAAAACATGCTCCTGTATTTTTAGGGTTTAAATTAACGACATCAACTTAAATAAGTGCCATCATTATGAACAGTTCATCTCTTAAGAGCGGCCTCAACTAACAAGCAAAACATGAATATGCAAAAATAATGGGACAGTGATAAACACAGAAACAGTCATCATCCTATCAGCGCAATTAAAAAAGCAGCACGCTCAAACTGAGGAAGGGAAATGCTGTCTTTATCAAAAAACAACAACAAACAACTCATGAAACTTAACTGTTGCAAAGAACTGGTATGGCCAAGCTCTCTGTGGGATGTAAAATTAATAAACTGGATACACATATGAATCAAAACAACTAACGTTCACTTAACAGAAGAGAGTAAAGACTTTGACAGGTTGAAGAAAGGTAAAGTCTTGAAGAGCCTGCCATTCCCTGAATGGGAGAGTAGGTAGAAACCTCTGTACCAGCAGGTTACTTTCCTAATTGCCCCTTTGGGAATCCAGTAAATTCTCTGGAGCACACAGCAGTGGCCACACTTGGAGACAAGGTATCAGAAAAACTGGAGAGATACCACATCCATATAAATCAATACCTTCATGGTCAGGATTTTCTGTGTTCCAGAAAGGTGTTTTTTCTACATGGATAGTAACATTTTTGTTGTTCAAGTCTCTTTTTTTTAAAAAACAATAATTTCCACTAGCAAACAAGATTTCTGTGATAGAAAGAAAAAAAATCCTATGACACCCCAGCATCCTTAATTAAACCCCTGCCTGTTCCCAGCACCAGAACCAGGCCAGGGGAAGTGCAGACTAAATGGCAATGTGGGCACTACGCCCCACTCTCCTCTCTCCAAGTCCACAGCCTTCAGAAGGTGACCAACATGAAAGGCCAAAAGACAGAGAAGAATGAGTGCAGGCCAGGGCTCTCTCCATTTCCCTAGACAAATGGAATCCATATTTGTATTAAAACAGAAAACTGTAGGAAGATTATTAGTTTCACATTTCCCATGCAGATCCAAAACAAACAGAAAGGGAAGCCAACTATACATATATAAAAAAAAGATAACACAAAAGCAGTGCAAGTGTCAGTGCAAGCTATGTCCCTGGCAAAAAAGGTAACTGCAGGGCACTTTAAAGAGTTTTCTAACACATAGAAGTGATAAGCTAGCAGAGAGTATCTCTAACCCACTAATTCTTTCTAGGAGAAGGTCCCAGGAAAATAATAAAAAGAGGCGATATAAACCTGCACCTGTAGATCAAGCCAGAAACAATTTTCTTAGAGCATTCAAATATCTGCAAATAAATTATAAGGCATAAGTAGGGTATACCTGCAAGCAGGTGTCTTGAGTAAATCTGGGATTTGCCTACAGGAGAATTCTGGGGCTGCAGAATAACAATTCTTTAAGGGAAGGGAAAGTCTTTATTTAATTCTGAAGCTTGTGACTATCTCGAAAACTGTACAGAAAAGTGTATGAGCCTGTGTTTTCTTCCCAGGAGATACTGCATTTCATTCCCCCTCACCTGTCTTACACTGCCTTCCTCCTAGAGCATTTGTTAAAGGCTACATTACTAGCTGTTAGCAGGAAAGCCTCTCTTGCCCTTTTCTTAGGGATCAAGGTGCTAGAGGTTGGACAGCTGTTGTGGTACGAAAAATAACAACTATAGCAATGTTTTTATGAAGTTTAAGCTTCATAAAACCAGAATTGACTTTTTCTTGTGCATCCAAGCACAGCTCAAGGGGAGGGTTCCCACACACTGCAAACAGAATTCAGCAAAAACTGCTTGCCCCTACCAGTGGAATTCAGCAGGACACTGTGTTTTCGCCTGGGGCCCTACCTCTTCTCACATCCCACCTGACTCCCTGCTCCAGGTCTGTCCTGAGTGAAGTTGGCACACAGAAGACACAAGACCATGGGTACTGCTCATAAGGAAAAGAACAGTGCAGAGCCACTTTCAGGTTGGCTCTCTCAGAAAGTTCCAGTTACTGTTCTCTCTCCTTCAAGTATCCAGAGCTGCATATAGAAAACTACATCATCTTTGCCAAGATAAATTTGTTAAAAAAATTGTTTTAAAGCTTATTAACTAGCTATAGAAAAAACAAAGCTCAGAGTCAG